ATCCGTCAGGAGTCTATTGACGAATGGAACCGGAGATACCAGGAAGAATCAACTGCCTCGACCACAAAAATATTCTTACCCAATGTGGTAGACGCATACCAGGTGGTGAGAAAAATAGAAATGGACTCATTCCTCGTCCAAGCGCTCACAGGCCACGGCGCTTTCGCAGCATATCTGCACCGCTTTAAGTGCAAGGGGAGCCCAGCATGCGACTGCGATACGGAAGTCGAACAGACAGCTGTACATCTGCTGGTAAAATGTCCGGCCTACGCGACCGAGCGAGTGGACCTTGAACTTAGGCTAAAAACAGAAATGACCGTAACTAACTTAGCTGAAATATTAAGAAATAAAAGCAAGTACAATATTGTAATAAAATAGTTAAATCAACGAAATACAAAAACAGATAGAAATGTAAAAGGGGATTTGGGACATATACTTAAAAGTATATTTCACAAACCCCGCTCTAATTAAGATAAGGTATATAATAAACGTTAAGTGTACAAACTGTAATAGAGTAAAGTAAGAATTGAAAAGCAGAAGAAATTGTAATACTAAGTAAAAATATGTAGAATGTTTAAGAATATATTAGTGTAACGTGCAATAGATATATATATATATATAATGTAATTTAGAATAGTAAGAAAAGATAAAGCTAAGTAACTTGGTAATGTAAGGTAGGAAATTGTATTGTATAGTTTGTAATAGTAGTGTCATAACAGTGTGTGTAAAAATAGAAGTAAGTTAAGTAGTACTGTAAAAGAATAGCAATAGTAGTATTAAACATAGAAATATAAAATAAAAATGTATTAAGTTTAAGGGACCAGTGTAAACAAAAAATCTTAAAAGAACATACGAAAAAAGAGCTGCCAAGGGCCCTGATCTCCCATGTCAGGGGAATATGAAAAAAAAAAAAACCCCAAACCTAACCTAATTCGTTTCTAGCCATTACAGCCATTTTTCGTCAAACTCAGAGAGGTGCGATTTTTGTGGACGCTGAGTGTATATACAATTGGATAAGATAACATAAATAAACCAGTTCTGGTATAATAATTGATTTCTGTACCAAATAACGGGTGTACATAGGCGGTGGAAATGGTTAAAAAATCATATGTTCCAACACATTTAAACATTTATTTTCAAAATACAATTTAACGCCTTAGACTAATATCACAAATTCGATTCTTTGATGTATCGTCTATTAAGTCCACAGCATATTAAACAATTTGAATTGAAGAACACAGCGGGAGGCCACTCTGGAGCGTTCAAACTAGCACAGGACGTCGTCGCAGAGGACGCTATAAGGGCGCGGAGTCTCTGGGGCCACGTCGCCTCCGCGCCCCCCCGGCCTTCACGGCTGCGAACGAAGGCAGCCCCGCCGCAAATTCCGCCAGCTTGCTCGGGTCCAAGTACAGCCCGTTGTGCTCGGGACTGGGTATGTCCGTCTGTACCTCACGGTCGGTCGACGTAGACCTCTCTAAATGGAAGAATTTCATTCGACACAGCTATTATATCCCAGCGTGGTACGAGTTCAAAAAATGTCAGTGCTTTTTACCGGTAACGTCCAGCGTGGAGAAGTCGGTGGAGGGCGTGTGGGCGGCGGGGCGGGGGTTGTGCGGCGCGCGGGGCAGCGGCGCGGCGCCCACCAGCGCAGCGCACACGGCCCCGCCCGCCGCGCCGCCGCGCCACCGCGCCGGCATCAGGCTCGCGCGCACATTGCGCTCGGGCCGCACCAGGATTATATACACCTGCCCGATGATTTTACAAGGCAAATACCACGAGGTATGTTGATACGAATAAAATAAAAAAAATTGAAAAAAATACATACAGCTACATTATTATTTTTTTATTTCTAGCATAGCATTATTCACATGGTGTGCCGATACCTACTAAGTGACAAAAGGGACGAAGAAAGAAGAAGATTATTTGATTTAATACCTTTGGTGCGAAGAGGCAGGCGAGTGTCACGCTGGCACTAAGAGAGATTGTGACGGCCATGCTGGTGACTCGCAACGGAACGTGGCTAGCAGTGCCAAAGTAGAGGGGCACAAACGCTAGCCAAATGACGCACGTCGTGTACATAGTAAAACCTGCGATTTATATTCGTTTAGTGTACTGTAGATAACTTTGTCACTGACTCATTACACTGATAAAACGTTTAAGTACTGACCGATATGTTTGCTCTCATTGAACGCTTCTGGTATTTTTCTGGTGAGAACCGCATACACTGTACACACAACTATGAGCACCACGGGATAGAAAAAGGCAATAGTGTACGAGGCATCTATGTAAGAATCACAGACCAGCATGTTATCTTCACGCGTTGGATAGTGATGGATCGCTCGAGCTGGCGAAGCAATTTGCCAAACAACCACAACAACAACCTGAAATGGTTTGAAAAGTAAAATGAATAACTCGATCAAAATTTACGATTCGATTTCAACGTATTTTATTGAGTTTTTATTACTCATTACGTACCTGAACTGATACTAAAAGAGAGCAGATGAGCAGCTGAGATTTGGGCGAAATTAAAGAAGGTCGTCGAGCCGACTGCTTGCTGGCATCGAAAATCCTCGCTATTCTGTTGGTCTTTGTAAGAAGCGCAGCGTACACCACGGTAAAGCAAAATCCTGTGCCGAAACTGAAAAAGGCAAACGCCTGTTAAGGGTTGCGACAAAAGGCCAACTTTTTGAATAAAAATCAATAACAAAAATAATCATCACCGCTGCAGAGAACACACGACGTCCGTGGGACGGAGCACCAAAGCGAAAGTGACCAGGTAGCACATTAAAATGCCAGCGAGTAACACGAAGGAGAGCTCTTTCCCGCTAGCTCGCACCACGGGCGTATCGCTTCGTAGCAGCCACACGAGTGCCACGAACCTGGCGAAGCAGAGATGGATGATTGGAAGGTGTGCGTGGTATGGTAATGGAAAGGGTTGGGCGGGAGGTGCGGTACATGGTGAGCAGAGCGCCGAGCGCGGAGAAGGCCATGGCGCCGACGGCGGCGGGGTGCTCGGGGCGCAGGAAGAGCTCCGGCACGGGCGCGCAGCGGCTGCGCGACGCGTCCGGCAACGCCCCGCGCGGACATTCCACGCACGCCGTCTCCGTCAGCGGCGAGCGAATCTTGAACATTTGCACCCCATAACTTTTCATCGGAGCTTCATATTTTCATGCTCAAAACGAAAAAAAATTCCAAACTTGCTTGATTGTTAGAACCTCTTGTTACATCTCCTCACTACTCAGTAAAGTTCAAATAGTATAATGCTACACTTTCCGTAATTTTTCCTACAAATTTTAATGATTAATCTTAAGTGCTGAGATCAGTACTATAAAAATTAAAATTCTACCTCATACTGTGTACAGTTGAAGCAATGCCAACAGCAGCTCTCTCCCTCGACGTACTGCTTGGCCTGACCGAGCTCGCACTCTGCGCTGCATACGGATTCCGGCGGCCGTTTCTCCCCCCACTTGAATTGGATGGCTGCAAACAGCAATTGTTAAAGAATAGTTGATAACTGTTAATAATAAAATTATCTACCAAAATCGGTTAATACTATTTACCATTCATGTCTAATTCTAGCTCGCCATCAAGATATCTTCCCACTTTTAACCAGCGATAATTTCCCAAAGAGACTTGTTTGAAATGTAAAATATTATATCGAGCAGGGCCATCACCGTTGCTGTCAAAATGGAATTCATCGCCACTCAATCCTGAAAACAAAAAGGCGTGTAAACATTAATACAAGTTCGAATTTCAGTTGCAGCACAAGTTGTAAACATCTAGTCCTGACCTATAAAACTAACTTGCCGTAAGTATCGTAATAATAAAGGTCCGTTAATTGGACGCATTTCTGGACAGAGACCAGCTTTTCCTCCACACATATCCTTGTGCATGTCCCTTAAAAATTAATTTAATGAGTTTTTTGTGAGAGATTCTTAATTGGAACTATATATTTATGTTATATGAAATAATAATACCTTATAGCATGCACAAAGGCAAATACAGCATCGGCAACAAACTGAAGCTGTCCTTCGAATTCAATGTTATTAGCAGCGAGTTGTTCTTTACCAGTACAAGTTGTTGTATAATTTCCATTAAAAGGTGTTCTAGGACTGCCGGGGTATCGGCATCTGAACTGCTCTTCCCAAAATTCTAAACGAGAAAACTTATTTTTATTTGGTTAAGTCGTATTAAAACATGCAAGTAGGATACTAAAATGAAGAAATAATAATTATTACCAATAAACCACGGATTCCTGGGGTTGTTTTTGACGGTGAGATTGAGAAAGTACTCGCGAAAACCACGCACGGGGTTGGCCTGGGGCTGCACGCTGATGGTGCCCTCGACCGTGGGCTCATTACCGTCGGCCACGAGGGCGCGTGCACTCCAGCCGTCCGAGCCGACCCAGCCGAAAGCGCCGCTGGCGCCACGCCTCTGCACCGCCGCCATCACGCCTGCCACCTCTTGGTCCGAGCCGAAAACTATCACGCCTGCGACAGGTATACATTGTCGCGGTTAATGGATGCTTTAAATTCAAATTAGACAGACTAAAACGCATACCCCGCGCTCGTGGTCTCGATAGAAGCCGCTCCACCATTGCATCATAGGCGTGGTCATCCGCAGCCCCAGAGTCTTTCACTAACCGTTCTTTAACTGCTATACAGATGTCATTTCTTGCCAGCATAGTCTCTAATTCTTCAAAAGCCTAAAATGTAAATAATTAAGAGATAAAGTTTAAAATTAATAAAACTGTTCCGTGACACAATTGTTAAATTTAGTGAATCACTTTAAAAAATTGTGACAATTAAAACTTGTAGAAAAGCACGGTGCGAATCAAAAAAACTTTTCATACCCTTTTTTTAAATTTTAATGTTCGAAATGTGCAGAGTGTGCTACAAAATTATGATATATTAGATATTCGTAGTTCCATTTTCAATCTATCGTTTGCTCCGTTATGTTTTGAATTTAATATTAATTTTGTGAAAAAATGGGCAGTTCAATGTCTGATCCGCCAGAAGGAAGTATTGAGTTAGTTGGTAGATTTATAAGTTTTGAGTAAACATAGATCAACATAGACCTGCCTTAATTCCATAGTTCGATTCTTCGTAGATTATTGAAACGTATCGCCAACCAAGTTTCTTAACGATCTCGACCATGGCTCGCACTTGGTGTAGATCCGAAGGAATAGTCCGTGTGAAATATTCGAAGCGGGCCTTATTCGACAATTCAGGGGAAGTCGAAAAGAATGATACCTGTGCCAACAACAAAAAGTTAAATGGCTCGTACCTGTTTACTCATACATATTTATACACAACAATATCACGTGAGACAAACTAACTTGTGGTATTTTGAATAGGCGCAACAGATTTGCAACTTGGACGGACGTTACGCTCGAAGCAGCACCAACCACGCCTGAAATCACTTTACGGACGGTCGAAGCGTTGCACGCGTATTCTTCGTCATCAATATTTCCAATTGAACCTGCGAAGTTTAGTTTTAGTCTAGGTATTACTCTCGTGTTTTATTACATTATCACGTGAACCGCTAGTTTGCTAACTTCTCACAATATAATCATTTTATTACCGCCTTATCATTTTTATTTCATAGCAGGGTCATACTACGCTATGATATAAAAATTATACTTTTTATGTTACAGTAAATAATTCTTTATCTACGAAGTAAGCACTAAAATCACAATGACATATTTATTGTTTTGGGCAGGCCCAAAGCTCATTAGATATTGGGTAACGATTGGGTTGACAAGAAGTGTCCTCTTGAGTTTTCATGCCCGAAATAGCATTTTATCTGATATGTTCGGAATATTACAAATCAATTAATTGTAATTTGATTAAATTTAATTGTATTGTAATTGTCTGTCTGTTATTCTGTTCCTGTCAGAGGTAAGTAGAATAACACCGAATTAAATTGTCACGTGACCCCACTGTGGGTTGTGGACCACTTCAACTATATTTTTTTAATATCATAATTATAAAAACTTGAATTTTTTTATTCATTTCAATAGCCTAATAATTTGTTACATACATATAAATTTTAGATGAAATTTGTATTTCGTATTTATCTGGCACTTGGATTAAATGCCCTAAACAATCAATGTGAGCAATGTGGCGGCGGAGGGCGAGGACCTTTGATGAAGTCGAGCGCCATCTCGAGGCCGCGCGTGTCGCTGTCGCAGTCGTCCAGCACGAGGGCGCCGAGACGCACGGCGGGCGGGCCGAGGGGCGCCGCCGCGTCCAGAGCGAACAGCATCGCCTCCAGCGCCTGCACGCCGCCCTGCGCCATCAGGGGGCCGCAGCCGGAGCCCTCCGCGCGTCCGTGCACCTGCACCCATGGCGTGATACGATTGACCCGTGACAGCTCATACAGTTCAGGGAGCAACAGTTACAGTCAGGCGTTTGCCTGACTGGGCGGACTTAAATCGAGTATTCTAAATTAATAGCGGGCGCCCGCACACTGAGCTACCAAGGTTCAAGAATTTATACTCATTTATTAAGTCCAGTTAAAGGTATAATCGAAGAGTTGCCATCTCAAAGGCCGGTGACACGCCTGCTGTCTGTTGAAGGTGACGATGATCGATAACTATTATGTAAAACGCAGTGCAAATTTACTGCAAAATAAAAAGTCAACTTTGATAATTGAAATTTTGACGAACTTGTTATTTTGCCATCAATCTTTGCATGCTTATCTACATCTATTTATTGTGCTTAATCTCTGCACTTATGATTAAACATTAAAATTTGTAGAAATAGTACGAAAAGATTGTCACCGCTGTGGGAATCGAACAAATTTTTACCGTAACGAATACTCGTATATTATATACATTTTCCATACTGTCCTATGTATATAGGAAATGGCTCGCGGTACAATATACGTACTTTCCAGATTTACAGGATAAGTTAGTGGACTAAAGAACCTTCCCCATTTTTGTGTCTAATTTGTATATTTATTTATATTTTCTTTTATTATGTGATAGTACTGTTTTATTAGCAATCTATAACATCGGAGCCCGGAATCATAAGAACGCGCAAGCGTCTATGTGAATTCTTATTATTATTGTTTCTAAAATTAATGAAAAAGACGTACGTTAACCTACTTTTGATTGTCGTATCGACAAGAAACTTTGTATGTAAAGGTAGTTCGTATAAAATTGTAGTTTGGTATCTTGGAGCCATGAGGTGGATTGTGAAACTCTTCAATGGCTACTAGTGAACCTTCGAGTTGATTGCTCTCATAAATACTAAAAAGCAAATAGTCCTGCAAAGGAATATATAATAGTGCGCGTGCGTTGTGCTGTCGTGACAGCTCGAAAGGCAACGGGCTCACCATCATGAGGCCGCCGAGCAGCACGTCGCCCTCCAAGACGGCGGCGCGCTTTCCCGGCCACGGCGCCTCCTCCACCTCCACCGCGCCAGAGGATGTCTTCCTTTTGTGTGAAATTTTCCTCTCTATCGACTTGTGCGATGACTTAGGGGTAACCGATTTATTTATTTGCTTAGTAAGCCCCTGATATAGTTTCGTCTCCGAGGTTGATTTTGCGATGCTTCTTTTGGTTGATGTTTCGTTACTTGCTATTGGTTGCGAGGGAATATTAAAATTTCTACTTGAATCTAATGCACCGCCTTCCGCGCGAAGGGGCGATGCGCTGGGGTGGCGCGTGTCCAGCTGATTGTTTATTTTCTTCTTTAGCTTTCTCGATAAGTCAAACGGTCCAATAAGAGTGCGAGACTCTCTTATAAATCTCAATTGGGTCTCGAATGAGTACTCCGTTATGGAAATATTGTGCATAACAGAAGTTGCATCATGCCAGCTGAAACCCCGAGGCAAGAACACGAGTAGCATGAGCATCAGGAACGTCAGCGTGGGACGCATCGTTGCTGCCCAGAGGCCCGCGACCTCACATCCTCCACCGTTGCACTTGCTCGATGTTTTGTTTAGTAAAAACTTCTTGTGGTGAAAACTCTTGGTGGATGTTTTTTGTGTTAACCGAACTCACGTATGCTGCCAATATTTTTTACACCTGTTTTACATTAGTGACACGTTGGCCGTGTTCCCTGCAATGGAGCTGCAACACATACGCCTGAGAACGAGTGCAATGTCATTGCGCGATCTCGTAGTCGCGTAGTAGAGCCGTAGCCGCGCGAGGTGTCTGCGATCGCGACGGGCGCCCAGAGTCGCGTGGCGCCACCGACTGCCGCCGCCGCTCAGTCGCGCCCGCCCCCGCCCACCCCCTCCTACGTCCGCCCTGGCGGGTCCGTTTACTTTTCACTTTTCCAAAACTTCCCGTTAGGCTGCACCTACATACAGTTACGTAGAATCTTTAAATGAAAATTGGTGTAATTATGTTCACATCGGGAATTTACATTTTTAATTTCGGCGTAACGAACGATAATCCATTATTAGATTTCTTTCAAATTTGTCAATGGTATAAATTATTTTTTACAGATATGCGATGCGGAACTAAGGTTCTTGAGTGGCTTTATGATATAGATGGAGTGACGACCTGTGAAAATGTGCGGGAATTCGATGGACGCAAGTGGCTCAGGATCATGCTTCGTGGCAGTCTGTGGGGGAGGCCTACGTTCAGCAGTGGACTCAAACAGGCCGAAAGGATGGTGATTAATTAAATTTCTTCTTATAAAATTTAATATTGTCAAATTAGCATGCACACACATACATAAAGTAAAAACATAACCTTTCTTTTTCCGGTCAGGAAATAAATCAAAGCACTCAATACTAATCGAAATATACTCATAGTTTCATGATAAGCAAAAATGCTTCCCGCCCAATGAAGTGGGCACGGGTCAGCTAGTAATTAATATCTGCTGGACTGGAACATCTATATGAAATGTTTTCGACATGGAATTTATGACATTTTTATATTATTAGTTTGACAAGTTTTCTGAACACTGTTCCTATTATGTGGTAAGATACCATTATAAATTGCAATTAATTGAGTCGAATCATTGCCGTAATATTATCGTAATGTAAAAAAGGTACGGGCAATGAGATTTTTTTGGTGACGGTCATCGTTTAAATCAGACTAACCATCTGGTCGCTTAGGTTGGACGTCCGCACGAACGTGCTTCATTATGATTGAAAAGCTCTAAAACCACAATCGCGATTTGAAACTCGTTTGAATTGAGTATTGATTTTTATCTGCTTTTTGCGGTGAGATAGAACTTAAATGACTTCTGTTGTACGCATAGAGACAACAAAGTACGAGCCGTTGAAGAAAACGAAAACATAAACATAATTGAAAAATTGCCTGGTATAAAAACAAGCATTCTTAGTACAACGGCTTTACATACTTAAAAGAAATATGAGAAGAGGTGGCCGCATTAATGAAATTTAAGTCTATCACCCGATCACAGAGCTTGGGCCGTAATACGAAAACGCCTCATCAATGCTCACAATCACTCCACAGTGTGAAGTCTTTTCGGTAAAGGGTTTGTTTCGCCAAGCGTACAAACTTGTGTGAGCTGAATTATGCAGTAGTTCGTGTGTAAACTTTGCAATGAATCCATTATTCTCCTTTGCATTTGAATCCGATTTATGGATAAGACGAAAAACTTCCGATAAAGTAGTGCTGTTAATTTTTGAGAGAGTTTTTATTGCATGTTGATCTTACAGTGTACTTAATACTCTATTAACTCGATAAACCAATTTTAAAATTATACGATTTTTTTAATGCCATCATGAGACGATGCCAAGTAGACTTAGCCTAGAAGCAAATGGCCTGCAAATAAAAATAGAAGGGGCGCAAAACAGGGCGATCATCTAACTCCAAAGCTCTTTACCACAATTCTAGGAATAATTTCCAAAAAACTTGTCTGGCAGTCTAAGTTATGATATTGAAATTAATCACAAATACCCCAGCCACTTACGCTTTGCTAAGATGTTATATTCTCACAAATCTCAAAAAGCGCAAGTTTGACCTTACAAATGAACCAGTGTACGTCTTTAAAACTATGTCTTTAAAATTACCAATAAAAACAGGAATGAGAATACTTATATATGTTGAAAAATAGTATCATAGCCCGGTCAAATTACCTTCAAAAATAGGCGTAAAGTTACATTAATTCGCACAAAGATGAAAATTAGTATGAATGTTGGGAATGATTTGACAAAAATCCCCATGGATCCGACGTGTGCAAGAAAAATTTATTCAAGTCAAATAAAGGCAAATATTATAAATATACAAAAGCCATTTTTGTTTATTTATATAAAATATAAATAAACAAAAAGGGAATGAGAAATTTGTCAAAATAATTTACTCCCATAATGTCCCTTTTGATATAACTGTATGTGATAAAATCTAAAATAACAGGAGTTCATTCTTGTGCACCAAATAATCGTCTTGCTTAGGTAGTAGCAAGATAATATTTCAACATCTCCATTGAACACTTAAATGTATTCATGAAGTTGTTTTACAATAAAATGAAATAATTGTATATGCAGTGGATTAACGCATCGATTCAACAAGGATATCCGCCATTGAGTGTTTGTTATAAAATTTCTCCTGACTGTTAAATAATATATTAATTATGATGAAAGATGATTAACTGACTCGTCGACATGACCAATCGATGACAAAAATTCATTAATAGTGTGAACCACAGAGTATCAGTACAGTAGTAATATAACATAACAGATTATAAATAATGTAGACTGACTACTTATAACACTGAAATTCCCGTACATGACGTTTGAACCATTATAGAAGGCATTCAGAACTAATAATTAGTGAATGTGAATTGGAGGCGTGTGTCGAAACGAGAGGGGCGTCCCCGCACCGCAGTGTACTGTCTGTCAATGTCAATCCTGCTCAGGGCTTAATGGGACTGCGCCTCTTGCGGGCATTTCATTAGTGTTAGCATTTCAAAAGTGAACAAATAAGCCTAACTTTGGACCAAGTAATACATGAAATATAGACAGAGAACATATAAGATAAAAGGCAGTAACATTCTACCAAAAGCTCCTATTTATTTACGCCAATGGTTCATGAGATCTTGATATCTTTTCATTGGGTTAAGACAAACTATTGGGAAAAGATAAATATATTTTCAAAGTCAAAGGCAAAATTTCTTTATTCAATAAAAGCTTAAAATAAGCTGTTATTGAATAAAGACATTTTGTCTTTGAATGTCAATAAACTACCACCGGTTCCCTAAACTAGAACCAGCGAACTCTCCGGTTTTATTGTCTTTTTTTTAATTACATAATTTTAATTTTGTAAACTTATTTACTAAAAAAGAAAGAAATAAAGGGCTGATTGCCACACTGAAGAAAATCTAACGTCTTTTATCTACGTTCTATTTTTTATGTTTAATCTATAAGTGCAGAAATAATTTAAAGTTTAAGTATAAAATCACCAGCAACCAGGGGACTTGAAATCGCGCGAAAAATGAAGTTACAATTAATAAAAATATCCATCAATTTCACATTTTTAAGTACATATTTCCAGGGCAGAAATGGTCATCGTTGTTAGTTCAAGTTATTAAAATACTATTTCACAAGTATGTTATAGTTGTCTTTGACCAATAGCCCGCCCAGTCAATGTAGGCATCTGTCCAAAAAATAATATGTGCTTCGTATGAGGCGATTTTGATCAGCTACCTTATGTTATTACTTTTGTAATATTAAAGGAATGCTTGGAACTCCTCCATTCCTTTCATATATTATGTTCCCTAAATGTGACATACGTTTATGAGATACATTTTACAAGAAAAGCATGCAGGAATTTTTATTACATTATTTTTGTTGAGAAATTAAAAAAAAAATACTGAAGAGCCGATTTGGTTGACAGGAATATAATTTAGTGAATGGATTGAATTGAAACGTAGTTGACTCTTGTTTTTAAATGCAAGGTCATAAAGTTGTATTGTTAGGGAAGAAGTCTGGTGTAACTGATACAAAACTATGTCCGAGTATAAGGTAAGCTTTAAAGTATCTGAAATGCGTCGTTTGCGCTGCAGACTTTGAAAAAAACTTTTCTCCTTAAGTTCGGCTTTGTGCAACATTAACACAGCTTAGGTTGCTTCATGACAAGGTTCATTAATAAAGTTCACGTACTTAATAAAAATAAATGTTATCTTGTAAAACAAATGACAATGCCAGAAAATGAATGGAGCTTTGCCCCACTTATTAAAATTCGTTTACAGGCATGCTTAATGCGGCATTTTATTGCTGTTTTATAACTGTTTACCAAACATTTAAACATACATCCATAAAACTTGCGGTTTCATTTTAAATCTAAGTTGAAGTTTCAAAATCATTTGCGGTTATATACATTTTATAATGGTAAAACTGATAAAAAGAAATACTATATTGTTAAAAGTTCTTGCCAAAAGCATGGCTATGAAATGGAGTAGGATACTCAAAGTAGAATGAACTACTCGACAACGAAACGTGCAGACTGTTTTTTATGGAGAGTATATGAGATGAGCGACCGCGATGCACGACACATTAACCATACTAACACTAACATAGATCACTACGAATAACACTAATAGTCGATCACCCGACACACTGTTGCGTAACTCGATGGGGTAGCTCAAGATCTATCTTAATTCTTAAATATATTACTAAACCTTGTTCTATCGTCTTTAACGATATGGTAGACTGTTAGGACCAGTATATATGTCTTATCTATGGTTAGAACTGATAGAAAATAAAACAACCCCTTAGTAATTAATGATTTATTCAACTCCATAAGTAATTAATACGTCATCGAGAAATGCTCCTGGAGCATCGATATCATTTTGATGGCGAGTCCAACCAAGTTACCATATAAGCGTCATTACATGACAACAACAGCCAATGGCTCTATTGCCTACAACACAACTGCAGCAGTATCCCAATATTTGGTC